ACGGATCGGCTCCAGAGCTGGTGCTGGGGACGGATCGGCTCCAGAGCTGGAGCTGGAGACGGATCGGCTGCAGAGCTGGAGTTGGGAACGGATCGGCCCCAGAGCTGGAGCTCCGAGGCGGCAGCGAATCCCGGCCTGACTCCGACCCCTGACTCGTCTGGTTCAGGTGTACAACAATGACCCTATCGGGGTACGCCCACCACTTACTGACGCCGCGCTTGGTCGCGACCGACCTGGCGCGTGACTCGGACCGAAATCCCGACGGGACGGCAGACTGGGGATCGCACGGGCCGCGTGACGGTGGCCCGCCGAAACCGACGGGCCGTCGACGAGCACCGGAGAATGATATGGGGGGGGGGCGGGAGGGCGGGGGGGGGATGCCCAGCAACAGGCGGGTCGGGCCGGAGGATGGGCCCGTCGCGTGCCGCCCGATCGACGGCCGAGTTTTTTGCCGTGCATGGGTGATCGGGGTCAACGCGTCGGCCGTCGTGAGACACCGGTCGATCGCCGTCCGGGCGACGGCCGGCCGGCGCGGGCCCGCTCGCATGCCCGCCGGTCAGAGACCTCTCCCCAGCCGCCGCCCGCCCCGTCACGAGTAGCGGTCTGCTCCCCCGCCGCCGGACGCCGCCGCCGGGCGCCGCCGCTGGTCGCCGCCGCCGGGCGCCGCCGCTGGGCGCCGCCGCTGGGCGCCGCCGCTGCGTCCCGTCGTAGGCGGGCGAGGGAGGCATACGACCCTCAGTGTGGCATTTATGACATGAGGTGTGCGGTGGATATGGAAGGAATGACATCGAAGGTCACAAAGATCTGTCAGCGAGCCAGAACATGTTTAGGAAGCCTTGTCCTTGTCTTGAGGGATGCACCTGTTCGGATCGGGCAACTATATTCCTAAATGTTTGGTGTGAGTCAATTTCCTCTTCTCCCAATTACTTGTTCGCAAGGGAATAAAAGGGCTAAACATAGATAATATATGCCTGCCAAGTAAGGATGCAACATGAGCTATGAAACACGCATCGTAGCAATTTGCCTTTTTTGCTTTTACAGCAGCATTGTTTCCAGCAGTTTTCCTCGGCGTTTTGGTAACCTGATGATACGTGCTTATTCAAGTAAAGTTCATTCCCAGAGTGCCAGCCTATTTCTTCGCACGACGTGATATAAAACATTGCTTTATTGTTTCATATCATGATTTCATATTTTAGATGGGTTGAAGCCACGGAAATTGCTGTGCAGTACTATGCAGCGCTTCGCTCATATCCTGCCGCGCCAAGCGATGCCTAGTGATCGCCGGGCAGAAGCCCGAGCCGTAGTCGAAAAATACAACATCTTCGCCACCCTACGCTCCACACTTCCCAGCGCGTCGCAGATTCAGGCCCCCACGCCGGGATTTCACGGCAAGGGACTCCTCGCGCACAAAATGCGCCAGCACGCCGAGGGAGCCAACTCCAGCGAGACCGCCGCAAGTGCAAACAATGGGACACGCATCAGCACCATCCACCGTCGTTCTAATGCATTCGCTCTCAGCGGCGCACTTCAGCGGATCGGAGCGCTATCAGCGGGGCGCTCGCAGACCAGAAGTGCGGGCCGGCCTGGCGACAGGCGGCAGTGCGCGCGCGGACCGGCCGCCCCCGATCCAGCGGGGTCGCCGCCCCGCGGCCACGGCCCACGTTCACCGCACGAGCACGTGTCAGCCCGAGCGCCAGTGTACGTCCCCGGAGCCGACCAGCAACGCTCGGGCGCGACGTGCGGCGCTAGAGGCCTGCCGGAGCGGATGATCGCCATACTCAGGCGGCGGGCGTCTCACAAGCCGGCCAATGAAAGCCATCTGTCTGACTGGTTGTCGCACCCAAACAAGACGGCGGAGATCTTGTCCGTACCGGGCCACACCTGAACATCAACAGAGCCCGCGCCCAGCTCCCCAGCAGATGGTGAGACCTCGCCCGGCTCACCAGCAGCTGTTCAGAGCTCGCCCAGCTCCCCAGTGACTGGTGAGAGCTCACCCAGCTCCATAATGGCAGGTCAGAGCTCGCCCAGCTCAACGGCTGGTCAGAGCTCGTTCGGCTCCCCGGCGACTGGTCAAAGCTCACCCAGATCTCCAGCAGCCGGTCAGAGCTCGCCTGGCTCTCCAGTGGCTGGTCAGAGCTCACGTGGCTCCCCAGGGGCTGGTCAGAGCTCGCTCGGCTTCTCAATGGCCGGTCAGAGCTCACCCGGCTTCCCTGCGTCTGGTCAGAGCCTGCTCGGCTTCCCTGCGCCTGGTCAGAGCTTGCCCGGCTTCCCAGCAGCCGGTCAGAGCTCGCTCGGCTTCCCAGCGCCTGGTCAGAGCTCGCCCAGCTTCCCTACGTCTTGTCAGAGACTGCTCAGCTTCCCAGCGCCTGGTCAGAGCTCGCCCAGCTTCTCTGCGTCTTGTCAGAGCCTCCTTGGCTTCCCAGCGTCTGGTCAGAGCTCGCTCGGCTTCCAGCGCCTGGTCAGAGCGCGCCCGGCTTTTCTGCGTCTGGTCAAAGCCTGCTTGGCTTCCCAGCGTCTGGTAAGAGCTCGCTCGGCTTCCCAGTGGTCTATCAGAGCCCGCTGGCGCAAGCGACGGCCAGAGCGGCGCGCAATCTGCGGACCGAGGCTTCCATCGACAGCGGCCAGAGTTCCCCGGCCGCCCGGTCGGCCGGGCGGCACTATCGACCGGCCGATGGAGAGGTTCCCGTCAAAGGGTCCCGAAGCCACCATATGAGGAGGATTAACACAGCGTCATACCGCTACGGTGGAACGTCCTCCACAGCCCACGGGTGCCACCCGAAGCACCTGGTGGCGGCCTGTTCTACATGGCATTACGGGAGGACAGCGTGCCGCTGGACCTGGCATGCCGGCATCCTCCCAAAGGTCACAAGGTGATCCCCACCTAGGGATCTGGCACAGCAGCGCAGCGGACAGGGTGACCTCAGCGGTCACGGTGCGACTCGCGGCCGCCGGATCTGGCCAGACCTTGGACAGTCTCCTGGAGGCCATCGAATGACTCCCTACCAAGGGACTTGGGTACATCAGCGGCCAGGGGCCGCAGAGGTCACGCTACGACCACCCGACCTCTGGACCTAGCAAGATAGTGCCCAAAAGGCCACGGAATGGCCACCTACCCCCGGATTTGCAACACAATGAACAGAGTACGCCAGAGGTCACGGAATGGCCTCCTGACACCGGACTTGACATAGCAGTAAACAAAAGGTTGTACGGAGGTTGTGGAACGCCAGCCCGCCGGCTGTGGACTCCCAGAGGTCGACGGACGACCCCTGACACCTTAGAGCTGTTGACTGGCTGCCGAGAGGTCATGGGATGGCCCCCTGCCGCCTAATAGAGCTGTCGGCTGACGGCACACAGGTCATGCAATGACTCCTTGCTGCTTCAAAGAGCTGCTGACTGACAGCACAGAGGTCACGTGACAACCCTAGTCACCTCACAGCGCCGCTGACTGACGACCCGGCGCGAGATAGCCCGATGGGTAATCCAGGTCCAGTTCCAGCCACAGAGCACGTGGGACAGAAGGTGGTGGCGCCAGTAGAATTGCCGGGTCGGCTTGGTCCGACACGCCACGTACGACAGTGCGCGGCAGTGTGACGGGCACATGGCCGGCATTTGCTACCCTTGTCAGAGGGCCAACCGCGGCAGACAGAAACGTCTGCACTCACAGTCAAGGTGTTGGGAGATAAGCCACCCAAAGGTCTGTGATGCGCAGGACTTGCACGCATCCATGATCCGATAGTGACATCCGATATCACTATCTCATATTAGATACACATTCTGACATACATATTCATTCTCACCTCTCCAACAAATTAAAATACCTTGGATCGATTCTAGCAACGAATGGCATCCCCATTCTCACCTTCCCTAACACTGAATGTGCGGTTGATTCCCTCAAGGAGAAAAGGTCACGCAGATCCAAACCAACACGAATAATGCCATAGTAACGTAAGCACATCCCACTCTCCTCCGTGACCCGCTCCCCCTGCCAGTTCCCGCCGTCACTGCTGCAGCCGCTTCAGGAAATCTAAGTCATTCTCATGATGCGGAAGAAGCCGCCGCATCGCTCCGAGGTAGCAATGATTTATGAGAGCTATCAATACTGCAGGTTTCTGGACAAGAGGCGGAAGACTAAACGAAGCCAGGATTCATGGAGTCCATTCCCAGCACACGCCCATTTCCCACCAACTCATGCCGGGTAGGTGAAGTTTCTGTACTTTCCCGCAGCCTCCGCCAACACTCTGCGCACTTAGGATCGCATCAGCATACAACAGCCTAAAGTTGAGCATCTGTAATACGAACCTGCATTAGCCCTCCCTTATCCACCACCACGGCAGTGTGAGCGCACATCGTTTACTTAAACACGAAACCTCTTCGCTTCGAGCTCTCACTGACTCCACTAACTGCGGGCTCTAACCGTCCCCTTCAATGATATCCCTCGCCTCATTTACGATATCAGCCTTCCTTCGGCCTAATTTCGCACCAACTCATCCAGTGTCAGCCGTTTCATTATCATTTGTTGTCGTTTCTCGCCACTTCGTTGAGTGCGACTCTTCCACAGAACCTTTGCATGCGAGCACCCGATCGTGCGCGCTAACGTGTCCGCTCCGATATATTGCGTGATCGCTGGTCCTATCCTGGGGTGTGACTGCTCAATACATCCTCTGCTGCGAACACTCGCCATATTGCTATTATTGCGAGCCCCCAACATATGACCTAGTGTGACCACGCACAATGCGCTGTAGGGTGGGTCCGTGTCACGCCACTTTGCGAGCCCTCACCAATCGCCATGCACATCAGGATCAGCACTGGGCATGCCCTCTGTTGTCACTCATCCCCATATCCTGCATTAAATCCATCACCATATTCTGTCTGGAATTTGAACCCTTACCATAGCTTACGGATCCCTCAGCTGGCCTTTTGGCGAGCCCCCCTCACGTATTCCCGACGTCGACCTCGTGGATCCCTGTGCGTGACCCTGCGCCGGCTGGGCGCCACCGTACCGGCAGTATGAAGTTGTCGAGCGGCGGCAGCTGCTGGGTATACTCGTCGATCCAGTGCTCGAGCTCGGTGACCCATGCGGCCGGCACGGCGGCGCCGGTGCGGCGCGTGTGCGCAGGCCGCGCCGACGAGCGCGGCGTGGCCACCAGCGAGCCGACGTCCTGCAGCGCGCACTGCAGCCGCTCCAGCCGCGCCACGTACGGGTGGCCGGCGTCCCTGGCCAGCACGCGCGCCAGCCTGCCGGCAGTCCGGCCGGGGTCACAGCGGCGGCCGAGCGCAGGCGGAGCCGTGCCACCAGCACGCGCGCCAGCCTGCCGGCAGTCCGGCCGGGGTCACAGCGGCGGCCGAGCGCGGGCGGAGCCGTGCCACCAGCACGCGTGCCAGCCTGCCGGCAGTCCGGCCGGTGTTACAGAGGCGACCGAGCGAGGCCAGAACCTGGGCACCAGCACTGTCGACAGGGTTGGTGTCAGCGATGCTTGGTGCCACGACCGCGCGCGCCGCTCCAGCGCGTCGACCGTCGTAGCAGGACCTGCGATCTGGGTTGTGGCATGACATAAGCGATGACGAGTTAATGTTGTGTAAACCTAATCGCTCTGGGGGCAGATTTTCATATTTCATGTTTGTTTTGCTCGCTGCTCCTGAAATGTTCGTTGCAGCGTCACGAAATGCCGTAAATTTACATGGAAATGACGTGCACGCCTTTGTGAAAATGTCAATGACAGCAGTGGCGCTGAGGCGGTTTAACACGCGCCAGGGTGGCCGGTTGGATACCCTTCGCTCCGGTGGGTGGGTCAATTTGATCCTCTCTGAGATCTCAGGAACTAAGAGAGCTAGATACACCAAATTCACAAGGTGTATTGACCTGTGCGTGAACTCACTCAGATCAAAGGTTGAGGTTCCTAGGTTATGACCTTCGGGTCATACAAGGTCACACAAGGTCACGCAAGGTTAATTTCCGGGTTGGCCTTCAAAGGGCCCCTAGGACCTTGCTCTAAGCAGACTGTCACAAGCTCATTTAAGGTCAGCGACCTTGTATGACCTTTTAAAGGTCATGGTGACCAAAATCATACAGGGCTGCATTGAGTTTTGCATTTGAAAAAGCGACAAAGATTAAGCTAGGCAGTATGTTCCTAAAAACCAAATGCTAACCAGTGTCATTGTATGTCAGTGACCTATTCTGCCCTTTAAGAAGCCCATGGAAAGTGTATAATGTGGTTCCTGTTATCAATAAATTCGAGATGGACTCCAGAAACTACCCCATGCAGCAAGCTCTAGAGAAATACCACAGGCTGGTTTTGACCTTGGTCTGACCTTCATACCTGGCCCTAGGTCAATGTAATTTGTTCATTCCATTGTCGTGTTGCCTAAATAAGCATCTCAGACATGTATGGCTTCGTCCAACACTCCGTTGCTGGATTAGATTGAACGATTCTATAAAAACTGCCTTCGCTGAAGCTATGGTCTGACTTTTACCTGCCATGGGTCAGCGACCTTACAAGGCACAACGTACAAGAATGTACAGCACATCTCCGGTGCATTGTAGGGCAACATAGATAGCAAGTCCATTCATATGCGAACAGATCATAATTATAGATATCATAAACCCGTGTGTACAGTTTTTCTTTGGCAGGGGCGACTGAACCAAAAATGGGGCGCACACTGTTGCATTACTTGCCAACTATGCATCGCAGGTGCTACCAGCGTATATTTAGTTCTGCTCCATAATGTGTGCGTCGAAGCAAGCTCACCACATGAAGAGAATGACCATTGCAGGCGACTGCCAGCTCCCAGAAGGATGAGAATCATTCTGGGCCATCTGCGTGGCATGCGGCTGAAAGGGAGCGAGGACTTGCGGTATATCTATGCCGTAGGTAAGGGTGAAGTAAATATGCGAAATCCAGTCGCAGATCATTATGCATGTATCATGTTGGATATGCATCCGAGCTACCCTCCTGAAGCGCACTCACGTACTCAAAGATGGGGGAGGCAAGTGGTGGGTAAACGAAGAAAAGCAATGCTACTGGCGCCTCCTACACATGGTTTACCTTGATCCAGGCCTGTGTAATTCATTAAACATCACACATTTGTCTGTAGAGAGCATATCCGATTTTTATATTATCTTAAACCCAAAACACATACACTATGGTTCATAACCCAGTCCTTTTCGCCGCCCTGCAACCGTCTGAGGTTCTCAGTTCGGTTTTCAGACACACGTCGAGTAAACCAAGGTAAAAAGTACGACAAACACGTTGGAGATACCGTACACGCACATCCAATGATATATGACCCATATAACCCGTTGGGGTTTTCGTGTGTCATTGCATGTTCGTTTGCAGTATTTTCAGTTTGTCTGTGGGAATTTTAAACCACCATGGTTTACAATGAACGTGTGTGTTCTTTTACTTGATGACGCAGCCGTTGTTCTCAATGGGAGCCTGCGGTGCTCTCAGCCACGGATGCACGACTGTCGTGCACACCCTCTGCCCGAAAGCACCTGAACATCACTCACGAAATACCGTTCTCAAAACGTGGAGCATCACCGCGGTCCTCGGCTGGCCAAAACTTTAGAGCACTGCCGATTCAAGTTAACCTTCACCCAGGCCAGCCGTTTTTCATAATTAAGGACTGATGGAGGTGGCGATGCCGCCCGCACCTCCTGTCGTTCGCAAACTAGGAAAGCTGGAGCCTTGCGGGAAAAGCCGGCAGATTTCTCTTAAAGAGATACTGTGATTGGTACAAGTTTGATCGTCGTCTCCCATGGTTCTACAGCGCGCGGCAGTGGTACCTGCAGCAATCTCCCCTCCCCACGTCAAGTTTCCGGGGTAACGACTGGCTGACTGAAAGACTGCTCCGCAAACTTCACCCAATGAATTCCTCCGCCTGATGGCGTCGTGTCTGAAAACGGAACATCGTCCTCAGAAAGTTGGCCGCCGCCAGTCCCACATCGACTCGGCTGTGACGGTCAGTCAAAGCCCCGCTCTCGAGCCCATCCTCTCCTAGTCATCCCGTGCCCTCGACTCATGACTCCAGGAAGTCTTAGCCCGACGGAGGCGTTGCCCGGTCTGTCTGCCCGGCGCTGCCACTGCCGGCGGCGCCCGTGGCTGGCCGGGGACGACGCCTGACATACGGACTAATGGCAGCGCGGCGGCGTCCGCCGGCCGGACCTGCGCTAATGGCCGCACCTGCCACCCCGCGCGGCACGAGCTCAGGCGTGACTGGGCGCAGGTCAAGCTAGCCTCCCCTCCCCCGGGTCAGAGACGGCAGGCACCTGCCATCCCACGCGGCACGGGCTCAGGCGTGACTAGGCGCAGGTCAAGCTAACCTCCCCCTCTCCCGGGTCAGAGACGGCAGGCATCTGCCACCCCGCCCGGCACGAGCTCAGGCGTGACTGGGCGCAGGTCAAGCTAACCTCCCCCTCTCCCGGGTCAGAGACGGCAGGCATCTGCCACCCCGCCCGGCACGAGCTCAGGCGTGACTGGGCGCAGGTCAAGCTGATCTCCCCTCCCTGGGTCAGAAACGACAGGCACCTGCCAGCCAATGCGGCACGAGCTCAGGCGTGACTGGGTGCGGGTCAACCTAACCTCCCTATCCCGGGTCAGAAACGGCAGGCACCTGCCACCTCACGTGGCACGGGCCCAGGCAGGACTTGGTGGTTGACAAGGCAGGTCAGGCTGATGTCTAGCCACCGCAAGATGCGGCCGCTGCCACCTTGTACCGTCGGATCCTTCAACTCAGAAGGCAAGCGAATAGCCAGACGAAAAACTATCCACGACGCCTGCGAAAGACGGAGTGCAGCTGACTTCAGCACCCATGATCCGCACAAGAATGGTTTCTGGTGTGCAATGCGGTCGGGGCCCTGGAAATGAGTTCGTTTATCTATCGTGCGCAAGGCCGGTAGCGTGGCTTCGACGCGTCTGGGGCAGTATGACAGCCCAACTGGAAACATTAGCTCTAGTCACGAAGGGCTGAGCGTGGTATTCGGTGAGCCTGTAATGGCTTTCAGCTCTCTCTCGGTCGTCGCTATAGGCAAAACATCTAAATATTTGAACACACGGAGTAAGAAACGTTGTTCCGGTAGTCTCCGAGTCTTGAGCTCTTCCTGCACTGAACCAAAAAACAGCAATCCTTTACTGATGGCAGCCGTCCACAGCTCACTCCGCAACTCTTATGTCTAGGCAGGGAGACCACGTTCGCAGCTTCCCCTGCGGAAGCCACTAGCCGGGACCGTGGGCCCGACAAAAGCTTTCCACGCGTCCTTCACTTCTGCCAGCTCTGCCGCCTCCGCACGCTCCGCATCGGCCCACGAACCGAAGCGCCTGCTGACGCCCGAGATCGACCGCCTGCCGGAGGTCGTGTGTGCGTTTGCGTGCGTGCGTGCGTGCGTGCGTGCGTGCGTGCGTGTGTGCGTGGGTGCGTGTGTGCGTGCGTGGTGTGGTGTGGTGTGGTGTGGTGTGGTGTGGTGTGGTGTGGTGTTGAGGCCACTTTCCACCCACTCGAAAACAACTACCTTTGTATGTGGGGTTAGGCCATGAATGTACTGTAAGCCATGTATCGTACTGTACTAAGCGGTTCCATTGGAGTTCTTACACTGTCGGAGGCGGCCGGGCCCTACGGCTGGTGGCGAATGAAAGTTTCTGTGAGCCGGTTGTTAAAATTGGCAGTCGCACAGTACTGGTGAGAAAACCGGCAGAAACCAGCAAAACAATAAAACGTAGAAAGACTGTCTGGCACCAATGTAGCGAAAATTCGGAATGCCGGCAACACTAACACAATACAAAGGCATGTCCAGCCCGATGTGATTTGGACTGGAACAACGATTATTGGTGAGAGGTGTTGCTTGGCCAACAATATCGTACATGGTAGCTGTTGTAGGCTGATGAGCATGCATGGTAAAGGACGTTTTCTTTACCCATCACATAGAAAATAGCACATGAAACAGGTCACAACGTGATAGATTTCTATGGCAGCTAAATGGGCTATCTTTGTACAGTTTAGACAACACAAATGGCCGTCTCAAATGGAGCACCAATTTGCAACAAAATATGCTGCTCCGCACTGATAGGACCTACAGCAGAGATCATGATCATCGCTTTTATTGGCATGTCATGTTTTGTGCATACCTTTAAAGAGAGCAAAAATCAATACGTGTCTCAAAGTGTTTGAAATCACAACGTTTCGTTCACCGCGGAACGATGCCAGAAGTGTTGGGCTTTTCCACAATGTATTTCCATGGCTGCTCCACATACTTAAATAGCCCAGTCCATCTTAGCATTATAATGAACGCTTGTTTTAAACATCACAGTGCACAAAAGCAAACGGCTGGAAGTGTTGAGGCTTTCTAACCTTCAGCAGATACCACATATTTCCACCATACTGTTGTGCTATCCACGTGCTGTTAGCTGTCGTGTGACTGCAGTTTAACATTACAACAGATGCGGCCGCTTGGGAAGCGGCGTACAATGACATCGTCGGCGGCGGGATCAAAGCTCCGGCGTCGCACCAAGCCAACTACCGCGCATCCGGCCGGCGGCCACAGAGATTTAAGCACAGCGCCTGCCAGGCGGAGTTTGTCCAGCGAAGTTGGAGGCAACGGGGCGGGGCTGGACGGTCAGGCCTGGCGGGATAACCTCGGTCGGCAGCTGTAGTGGCGTAGTTTGGGATCGTGCCATGATCGGCGGGATAGGATGCCCGTTCGTAATACGGGACTGATGGAAACAAACTTGGCGGCTGAAATTGACAGAAATCCTCATGCATCTAGCATACAGTGGCAACTGAATATTCCTTGAAAATGCTATTCGATTCGACCATTAAACAATTATTCAGATTTGTAGCGCTCACAAAATAATGATCTTACAAGCAATTCCAAGTACTTTTTCACAAGCAATGACATGTGCATTACCACAGCAGGCAGTGACGTTTCACGCCGTTGATCATGTATCAGCCAGGCTCACCCGATGGTAGCCGAGAGCTCATCGACGGTACCCAGCGCCTCAAACAGGCAGTCGTCCTTGGGCCGACGCTCGCCGGTGAACGTGGCCGACGTGCCGGCGTCGCCGGTGCGCGTGTAGATGGCCGGGAAGGCGCGCCGGCCGTCCGCCCGCAGGCCCCGGCCCTCGCTGCAACAGTCCCGGCCGGTGTCACAGGCCAGCGGACCAGGTCAGCGGTGCACGCTGACAGGTCGGGCTACAGGGTGGCAGCGTCAGCGCGGCGCCGCCCGTCAGCGAGTGTCGGCCAGCGCTGAGACAGGTCTCGCGCGGCGGGCTAGTCGAGGAGGGCTGGAGACAGCTTTGGCCGCAGAAGGAGGGCGTCACAGTGCGCCGTTGCTCGCTGCCGACGGCCGGCGGTGGCAACAGCGGGCTGAGGTGACCGGACTGCCTCCTTCTGTGCGCTGCATTGCGACAAAATGAGGTGTCATTTGGTGTCTGATTCTCCCATAACAACATTTACATTACGACAACAGTGCCTCCCAGCCAGTCTCCTATTGGAAGGGTGAGTTTCGTACCACGGATGACACACCGATAGCAGGCCGAAGGATTTACCTGCCTACCGTAATGGTCTGTTCACTCAGGAGTTTTTCAGCACGCCGGACGGGCGTCAAGTTCAGGCGACGTCATGAGGAAAAGGATAACGTGTCATGCACACCAAGGGGTGCTCAAATTCGGATCTAAAACAATGTACTCTTCATAGTGTAGATCATACCTACGGTATGTTTGCTTACATAACATTAAATATCCTGGCATATGTGAGGCCTGCGGTCGATAAAGCATCGCTAATCAAGATCGTCTATAGACAGTTCATTACCAATAGATATAAGACAAAATGTTGCGTGCTTGGCATTGAAAAATCCAGTCAGAATTGATTCTGCTCCTATTCCCGACAAAAAGGCATATTCAGCGTGGCCAGGCAGTGAATGGCAGAATATATGATGTGCTGTATGCTCGGCCGCAAGCTGTTAAAAAGAGCGGCGCATTCGGCAAAAGTATGACGTTCGCAGACGCACGGCTTATAGTCTGGGTCTTTGTACGGGTGTCCGATGCGTGGAATACTGCAGATGTGATACGACCATTACGCAGGTCATCAAAAACCAGGATCGGTACACCGTTGCTATGTCGCCGCACATCACTGTGAAGGAGCAAATGCCGCAGTGGCATACTTAAGGCACACGTTACATCCAGCCATGGGCGAGAACGGCTCAAGAAGCAACTCATGCATAAGCCAGGGTGACGGACACGAGGCATTTGTCTGGACTATTCGCCGTTTGGACAGACGACTGCTCCCAGCGGACTAAATTACGTCGAGGCGCGGCCGCCGTGCCGCGCGCCGGATGGCGGCCGGTCCGTTTCAGATGGTGCCTTGGCCCGTTTCAGATGGCGCCCGGCTCGCGCCAGATGGCGCTCGGCCCGCCTCAGATGGCGCTCTGCCCGCCTCAGATGGCGCCACCGGCGCACACCGCGAGCGGTGCTGCGCACTCCTGCTCTAGATGGCACTGTCTTTGGTGTAGCTGTTACGGGCACTTTCTAGATGGACACTAGTGATATAGGCGACGCTGCGGGCAACAATGCCACTGCTCTGGAGCTCTGCATGGGTGATGTTCTCCCCTGGGGGTAAAGTGCCAACAGGGCTACCTGTGCCACTATGTTGTAACCAGATGGGCAACCCAGGTGTGGTGATGGCTAACACTGTCCTTGTCATATAGTTTCTGGAGGCTGGGAGGGATATTTCCTACCACATTAGATGCATCCCAGGCCTCTGCCCCAGAATACCTAGAATTAGCCAGGATTGACTCAACATACAGAAAATGACATGTCAGGTAGCAGGCCCTCCTCTGGATAACACAAGGGCCTCCTAGTAGGTTGAGGTGTTGACACCACTGTCCATGATTTTTGCTTGATCAAAGTGGCCTTAATACCAGAGTGATGGGGATTAAGTTCATGCCTGATAAATGAAAATATAAATATACATGTTACAAACAGCTCACAGAACACACCCTTGCTTTACAGCATGGACATTTTTACACCAGTCAAATCTCACATTAACTTAAGTACAAAATTTAGCATCTAGATTCAAATTCTGACAAATTCAGATGTCTCAGGCATTCTTAAAGCATCCTTCACAAGAGAAAGTGTTCAAATTGTTCATTACACAACTCAATGTTTGAATAATTATTAATGCTAACACATGGAGCTGCAGGTGTTACCTTCCCCCTCAGCTAGCATCAGCTGTGATTTTGTTAAATTTATGACAAAGTGATGTTTATGATACTAACATATACCTAGGCATGTTTTAAAATTATGAGACATATGTCTTCTTTATCACATAACACAGATTCACAGTTTCATGTCAAACTAGGTACAGCTAGATTAGGCTAGTCTTCATATTCATTTCACACTGATAGCATATTATCCTCGCAGCCTTCATGAATGGGTCATGCCTGCTCAAGCAGCTGAAGTACACTTCCTCAAAATCTGCACAAAAATAAAATGTCAATAGCTGACCTCACAAACTTAACAAGTTCAAAACATCTGAGAAGTTTGCATTTGTGCACTTTAACACTCATCATGACCTGGACAAATGGGAAAACATATATTGATGATAAATAATCTAAGAGGGTTTACCTATCTACTCTGCATGTCAAGTTAACATATATTGTTTTTGTGTACCTCTCTCTTTACAGCCTATATTGCAGAAGGATATATGAAGCCTGCAGTTGTGAGGTTAAATCTGGTATGGAAGAGGTCAACCAGAATGAGAAACAGAGCATTTGACATGGCAACAAGGCATTGCCCAAATCATAGGCAGTGCAAGTGGTTGTTCTGTCACACTCAACCTAAGCTGGCATTTCTGCCAGCTGAAACAATTTTTCTGCTTGGGGTTTTTCCTGGCTAAGACTGGTATAATCTGGTAGAAACTCAAGAAACTATTATCTTCTCATTTGTAATGCTCAGATCAAGAAATTGTTGTCTGTTGTCTTCTATGTAATGAAAATACTGGAAACCAGATGCTGATCATCTATTTTTTATGATGGTAATTAAATGATCCATGACACATCCTGTCCAAGGTGGAAAGCTACAACTAGAAACTACCTATCTGGAACAACTTACAGCTACCTACCCTGAAACTTCAACTCCCTTGCCCTCAGTAGGTGAGAGGGCAAAACAAATCAAAATATGGCCTTACATGCATTATCAAAATGTGTGCTCTATCTGCCAATAACAGTGTGCAAATAATCATCCCAATTTGGCCTTACCAACCCTTATTACTGGTGTCATCCACCTTTGATGTTCCTTGGTAATACCAAAAATGCCTAGCATGCAACATTTTTTGTTGTCTTGCTATCCCTCCATCAGTCATCAGTTATCGGTTCAGAATGTTCTGCATTGATCATGCTTTCAAGCTTTACCGCCCACATCACTGCCATCAGGTTGAAAATTGTTAACTCGGCTGGCTCAGTAGGTGATGCCGCTCACGTACGGACTGTCTCCACCATTCACGCAAATGTTTAAACACTTACTGAATGTTTTTAACGCTACAATAAAGTGCTGAGACGCCTCTCGGCACTACGTCTTGAGAATAGGAAAATGCTGAAAGGCGGTACAGCGCGGAACTCCGGAGCACCGTCCGCATCATCGCAGCAGCGGCTCTGGGAGCTGCCATGTTTCTGTTTCTTTTTTCAATAATGTGCCCCGTGATGTGAGGTCCTAAATATATTCAGTGGTTCGAGCGGCGGCGTTATTATTTTGTCTACCATAAGGAAACCATTGGAGCTCGTGTATTAAGTGTACGGCCGAACCACTGACATCATTATCGCTAGCACGTGTCCACTTCGCACTTATGGGGAAATTTTGAAGGTGATGTCTTGCCGACTTTCGGCCGGTCCTTTCACGTCCTAGTCGCCGAGGGGGATCCATTGGCGACGTTAGATTGGGCATAGCGGATCGGGAATTTCGCGTCGAAGGACAGGGCTGTGACTCGGCGTACCCTGTCCCTAGCAAAAGAAGTTCGCTCACTCATAATTTCTGACCAAGTTCCCTTGAGTGTCATCCGCATTTTCGTAATTTCGCGATATACCACATTTTAGATTAGCAATTAGATTAGATTGCCTATAACCGATTAGCAATTGACATGAGAGACCGGTAGTTCTCCCTCAATGACGTCGTGCGCGTTTAGTTGTATCCGCGCATGATGGTCTTTTTAATTGAACACTTTCTTTGCAAATAGACGCTGTGCACAGCATTGCGAAAAAATGCTTGGGGGGGGGGGGGTAACCGAACAACTGGGATTTCCTATTCAGACACGTGTGGTGCACTTGCAGATGACGACCCAATGCTATCGGATGCACACATACAAACTGTTCGCAAACATTTATAAGTCTCTTCTTCCGAGCCGTGGTATTCTGGCCATCACCCTACGGACAGTCGCACTATGTGCCGTCATGGGGAGATTTAAATACAAAGAAACGACATATCTGCCCATGTATGATTTTCTTTGCCGGCCGATAGTACTACCATAATGGCACAGTATGCACATGATTGCACTCGCCGTGAAGGTCAAAAATATTTGAAACTGGACGCCTCATCTTTGCAGATCGCCGATGCGCACAAACTGCCAGAGTGAAACGCTGGCGGGAGTTCGACCGAATAAAATCGAAACTGGAATACGAGATGTGTGTTGCACTGGCAGCTGATAACTGCGCTAGCGCTATCTCATGTGCACTTTCGCGCTTCTCGTCGACGCGACGTACTCTGACCAGCATGCTACGGGCAGTTCACAATGCGACGTTAAGGTGAGATTTTTGACAACTCTGTTCTATAGCCTTGACCACAACCGTCATGTCGGCCGATGAGAAACTTGTATTGCCGGCCGACAGATGGCACTGTAGCACTGCCTTATTCAAGATACGATAGAGGCGCTGCATGAACTACAGCAGTCGATTCGCCTTAAAACCCCAAATCATCATGCAATCATCATCAAGATACGATATAAGTAAGACGTGTGAGCGGAGCGCCAAAATCTTGGCCAGAGCTAAGCAAAAAGAAATAAGAATGATGTGCGCCATGCTAATATGTACCTATTATTTTCAGCCTTCCACGATGACCAGTGGAAATGGTTACCTGATAAAAATAAAAATGTGAACATAAAGTGACCGAAATCTGGGGACTTTTGTGATGGGAGCGGGCACGAAGTTCGAAGGGCACTACAGAGATACGTGGCTATTTACTCTCGACGAAATCCTGGACCACCCCTGCACACACATGTTTTATTCCTTTTGCCTCGTCTTGCATGCCTTGGGAAGTGGTAAGTGTAGCACGTGGTCGTGTTGTTGTGCACGTACTAGTTAGTCCACTTTATTGTAATCTCAGAACACTTGGGGATACTTAGAAATAACAGCACGTGTTCTAGGTGTTTGCACACGCCTCAAAGTATTTGAAACGCATATGGTGTCAACCGTGGCGTATGTTATCTCATTCTCCTGCATGCAGTGAGATACGCCAATGCTGTATTTCTAGTGTGTAGGGAAAGAACGTTATGCTGGGCGTTTTGCGTCAACCACCGATACAAATGTTTTCTTTTTTTGTCCGTTTATTGAACTAATTCAGCACGGCAATGTGCAATCATTGTCACGAACTTACTCGGTCGGACGATAAATTCCAGCGCCAAAATGAGTGCAGTGTTGTAAAAATGCATCATTTTGTACCTACCTTTTGGTCTTGAAAAAGGTGAAGATATTTAGCTCAGGGGATGTCTATCAGAGACCACCAATGCCGGATAGTCGTCTCTGCATCGGACTGGGCCCTGTGCTCCATTCTCCAGGCAGGGACAAGGCAGGGCCCGTGACTTGCACAGGTTGGTGGGGCCCCTGAAACAATGAGGAGTCCCTGTGCTGTGCACGGGCCCGCAATGGTTAACACGGGTTTCTGTGTTGGCATGCCCCTCCCCCCTCCCTGAGCGGACGGGAGTCGAGGGTTTTCTGCACTGGACACCAAATGAATGTACCGGGTGTAATATATGCCAAATATATTATGCACCGTGCATAATATATGAATATATGAATGCACCGTCTATAATATATACCACCAAATAATGCACCATAAGTGAGTAGTTTGCTTCAATGAGAGACCCAGCATCGATCAGGAAACAACTGCGGTGGTCAGAGGGCCTTCCGCGTAAGGAAGGGCCGATGCATGATGCAACCCTCTAAGAGCCCCGGATCGACCAGTGGCCCATGTCTTTAGATGGGCAGCCGGTACGTACCCCTGGCTGAGACGGAAGTGCTCTTCTGAGAGCCCCCGGATCGACCAGCGTCCCGTGTCTTCAGGACAGGCGGTAGGTACTTCTGGTTGGGACGGAAGGGCCCCTCTGGGAGCCCCGGATCAGCCAGTGGCCCGGTCTTCAGAAGGGCACCCGGTAGGCAACCCGGACTGAGACGGAAGGGCCCTTCCGCTCCTAAGTGAGAACGTGAATTTTCCGTTTGGTGTTCTGTCCACAGGGGCATGGGAAAGACAAGGGAAACTAACAGCAAAAGTTATTATATGCCCTCCAAATGGGTGGGTCGACACTGGGTCAAACATTGGTGCTGACATGACCAGCTAAGTCTACAAGAGTACATCCATCTTTTAATGGAAATGGACTCGGGAAGAAGAAACAAAAACTTCTCTATTTTTCAGCACGCGCACTCGCAATCTTCAGAGCGGAAAAACCGATGCCCGTTGGTACGGTTTTCATCCAACAGAGTGGCGTTGGCCGCTGCTACTAGCACCAGGCGCTGAGGCCCGGGCCCGCGAGAACGACCATGGGTCGTGAAATAAGGTCTCCAGAAACCTTTCGAAATTGAGTCGTAGCTTTAAAATGGGAAAATGAGCCTTCTGATCCATACTATTTGAGGCTTGCCCTCTGAACTTATAAAGGTAAGAACGGCACAAGCAACAGAGGCTCCGCTAAATGACACGACGCAACGACACAACGCCAAACACATTGTTTTCTGACGCATGCATGTTTTCGTCCGCCAGCAAGAAGCCGCCCCATATGTAGTCACTTGGCCGACGCCGCGCTACCCGAGGGGACTCCAACAGCAGGCATCGGTATTTGTTTTTTTCTTGGCGCCCCGCTGTCTGGAGAGCGGGGGTGTTTGCCCGGGGGAGGGGAGGAGGCGAGATCTACAGCTGTCAAGTGAAGCTCCGCACGGTAAAAGAGGCTTTCTTGCGACATTCGTTGGTGACAATGAGGCCAGGAGATAATAGTCAGCTGACATGCAAGTGTCCCATTGGCAAACAGCCGGATGTGATACGGTGTATCACGGGCACGGGGGCGTCTTCGGCCGGCAGCCGTGTTATTGCGCCGGATGATATTGATTCTGCGTGACTTGCGCCTAGCTCCAGCCTCATAAAAGCGTCGGGCTGCGCTCCGAATCTGGGAACCTCCTCGCCGCGGAGCCATCATGAAGCTGGTGCTCGTGCTGATGCTCGTGAGCTGCGTCCGCGCCTGGCCGCTGAACGTCGACAGGTACCAGGGATCATCTGACATCTCGGAGTCAAGCGGATCCGGACCGCCCGGGCCCGATGAATCCGGATCCGGATCCGGATCCGGATCCGACGGGCTCGTCTTTCCCGGACTCGGGTCAGACAGCTCCGATTTTGAGTTCGACAGAAGAGGATGACTAGTCCACTAGCTGGGCAGGCACAGCCGAGCTACTGGAAGCCTGAGTCCCTCGGCTGGTCAACGACGGTTTTCCAAAGGCCATGGCTTGCTGGGAGAAGTCCTCGAAGACCATACCGAACATATTTCCCCACATTTCTCTTCAGTGACACTTATCAAATTACGTCGTAGGCTGCGGCGTCGATATTTCTGTATTTGAGTATTATGGTGTGTGATCTGCTTCATTCAGCTTCCTCAAACCTGAATATATTAGTGGATGCCGCCAGAAATGTTTTTCCTGTACCCCGCAGCAATGTAATGGAATGAGCATTCCAATCTGGGCCCGCGCCAGGCCATCCGGCCCCGTCATGTATTGCAGGCACTCGGATACAAGATGCAGTTGCGCAAACAGCGGATCCAGTCTGTTACGACCGGAACCATAACGCCTCCTCACAGGTGCTCGTAACCCGAGGTACTGAAGCGCAGCACAGCACATACGGAGACTAATGCCAGTCACGCAGATATCCGGCATCACCTTCCACCGGCATACTCAGAGCACTCAGCCATTACTCGCCAGACATCGGCGGCGGGTCACAAACACAGACACCGCCAGACAACGATGGCGGGTCACAAACACGGACACCGCCAGACAACGATGGTGGGTCACAAACGCAGATACCGCCGGACAAAGATGGTGTGTCACAAACACAGACACCGCCAGACAAAGATGGCGAGTCACAAGCACAGACAGAGTCAGACAAAGATGGCGAATCACAAGCACAGACAGTATCAGACAAAGGTGGCGAGTCGCAAACAAAGACACCGCCAGACGGGTCATAAACACAGACATCGCCAGACAAAGATGACGGGTCACAGACACAGGCGCCGCCAGACAACGACGGCGCGTCACAAACACGGACACCGCCAGGCAACAACGGCGGGTCACAAACACAGACAGTGAAGAGCTTGCTGCCATCCGAAATTCTGACATGCCTGAGCCTCCCCAGCATCCGACTTTTAGCCGTATCTGAGCCTTCCCTGCATCCCCACATGAGGCAGCGCACCGCGTGGTGGTGCCTTCCACCCGGCCGACACCAGCCACCCGGCCGCTCCGCCGCCGCTAGCCGCCATCACTCGCCCATCAGTGCGTTATAGCTGCCGGCACCGCCGCAGTCGGGCATCGAGTGGGTGAGGTAGTTGACGGGGCCCTCGCTGCTGTAGCGGCTGCGCGCGCCAGGCACCTGCAGCGCGCGGGAGGCGCTCGGCGGCGCGCCGTCCGAGCTGACCGGCGAGCAGTGGCGCTCCGGCGACGAGTCCGGCGCCGACAGCAGCCGGCGGCGGACGGGCTTGTCAGCGCGCCCTCGGCCGCCGCCGTCCGACAGGCACATGTAGACGGAAGCCAGCAGGGCCTGCCGGCGAGGCGGCGCCAGTGAACGCTCGCGGCTCCGGCTGCACGGCAACGGGCGGCTGCCAGACAACGTGGCCCGCAGTCTGCAGCTTTGCCTACCAAGAAGTTGGCGTAAGCCGGTTTCGCGATGGCTTGACTGCTTGTCCCTTGAAAATAGGCTGCGGAAGGTACGACATTCGTCACAATTCACCGTACTGTAGTCTGGTGCGCTCAGTGTATCTCACCATACAGAAGCCTGGTTCGCTCAGTGTATCTCACCGTACAGAAGTCTGGTCCGCTCTGTGTATCTCACTATACAGTAGTCTGGTCCACTCAGTGTATCTCACCATACAGAAGTCTGGTCCGCTCAGTGTATCTCACCATACAGTAGTCTGGTCCGCTCAGTGTATCTGACCACACAGGAGTCTGGTCCGTTCAGTGTACTCCACCACCCAGTAGTATGGTCCGCCCAGTGTATCTCACCACACAGAAGTCTGGTCCGCCCAGTGTATCTCACCACACAGTAGTCTGGTCCGCCCAGTGTATCTCACCACACAGTAGTCTGGTCCGCCCAGTGTATCTCACCACACAGTAGTCTGGTCCGCCCAGTGTATCTCACCACACAGTAGCTGGTCCGCCCAGTGTATCTCACCACACAGTAGCATTGTCCGCCCAGTGTATCTCACCACACAGTAGTCTGGTCCGCCCAGTGTGTCTCACCACACAGTAGCATTGTCCGCCCAGTGTATCTCACCACACAGTAGTCTGGTCCGCCCAGTGTATCCCACCACACAGTAGTCTGGGCCGCCCAGTGTATCTCACCACACAGTAGTCTGGTCCGCCCAGTGTGTCTCACCACACAGTAGTCTGGTCCGCCCAGTGTATCTCACCACACAGTAGTCTGGTCCGCCCAGTGTATCTCACCACACAGTAGTCTGGTCCGCCCAGTGCGTCTCACCACACAGTAGTCTGGTCCGCCCAGTGTATCTCACCACACAGTAGTCTGGTCCGCCCTGCGTCTCACCACACAGTAGTCTGGTCCGCCCAGTGTCTCACACACAGTAGTCTGGTCCGCCCAGTGTATCTCACCACACAGTAGTCTGGTCCGCCCAGTGCGTCTCACCACACAGTAGTCTGGTCCGCCCAGTGCGTCTCACCACACAGTAGTCTGGTCCGCCCAGTGCGTCTCACCACACAGTAGTCTGGTCCGCCCAGTGCGTCTCACCACACAGCAGTCTGGTCCGCCCAGTGTATCTCACCACACAGTAGTCTGGTCCGCCCAGTGCATCTCACCACAGAGTAGTCTGGTCCGCCCAGTGTATCTCACCACACAGTAGTCTGGTCCGCCCAGTGTATCCCACCACACAGTAGTCTGGTCCGCCCAGTGCATCTCACCACACAGTGTGAAGGAGGGCGCGCCGCCTCTCGCGGCTGTCTGGCTCGATCAGGTGATAAGCGTCGCACGAGAACTTACAAGTTCACGCACCTACGGCCCGCTGCCAACGCTCAGACGTTGTTGCGGTTTAAATGAGAAGTATTCATTGGCGTTACATGATACAATGGTTTTAAAAAGTTGCGAACGGTTACAACGTGTAAATGTGTCCTACACACTCTGCAATGTTCTGCACATGTCGTTCATGTCGTTTATGTCGTTCATGTTCATGTGACAACTAAGTGAACTGGAGCGTGAGGACGCCCTATCGATGGTATACACAGATGTGTTATGTTCATACACTGGTATGACCTTTTTCTTGTTTGGTTTGAAATTGGGTTAGGCGCCAGGAAGCTATATGCTGTAGGCGGTCACGCTCATTTTGTTTTTCACCCAATATTCCCACTACGCATGGACCTGTATGCGTGGACTAATGGACCAACTACCCATTTCTAATCAGTTTTCCCTATACGTTACAAATCTGTTTTCACTTGTTCCCGCTCGTAAGTCACCACGGGGTACTTCCCTTCGATGTTTTGAATCGACGTTCTGCAAAATGTCTTTCGCGAATACTATACCGCGAATATGAGTATTATAATTTATTACGCGAGCAAAAGAGCTTCGTGCCGAGATGGGGCGTAATTTGTCCATATTTCCTTTCAAAACATTTTGTTTGACGCGGGCGCGAAAGCAAAGTGTTTGTTCTTTTTTGCTTTCCTTTGCTTCTTTCCAGCGCTAATGCAAGTGAAAACAAGGTTCAAACAAATGCAACACTTTCGCCTCTTCATTCGCGTCATAAGCTTACGCTACCGCTGGAGCGGGCTATTTATGTTGGGTCTAAATGAGTATGTAGTAAATAACATTGACTCGAAACCATTTTTGGGTTGGTTATTCGTTCAAGAGCTTAATCATGCATGTTTACTTAGTGAAGTAAAGGGGAACAAGTTTGGCGAGACAGCAAAACTACAGAGTATGTTGCAGTCTCTAAAATATGAAGCGGTGCTAGTGGGAAAACACTATCAGAGGCACCAGTCAAGAGCCAGTATCCTTACGTTCAGATAGAGTGCAGTTCCTGACCGGCCCGGTTCGCTGCAGGCGACCTCACCATGCCCATATGCAGCAGCACGATGACCGATGACGCCAGAGGGAAGCCGATGGTGTCCACGAGGATGCCGGCGCCGCAGCGGGAGATGAAGCGTCCGGCGCCGCTCAGCGAGCTCCACATGCCGGCCACCACAGCGTGCGTCGTGGCGTCGTCATGCAGTCCTCCGCCGCTGGCCGAGCGCCGGCGGCAGCGGGCGGTTAGGGGCAACAGGCGGACACCACGGCGTCGCGGGCGCATGGTGGCCGCGGAGCCCCGTCCGCCGGGGTCGGACAGGGAAGAGGAGCTGTGCCGTCACATCTGGTCCGAGTGAGGACGCGGGAACGGAACGGTACTGCCGGCCCATCAGTGTCAGACCTCGAATCGGATCACTAGAACATGCCTCCTGGTTTACGAGGCTAGGAAGAACACGCGTACCTCCGAGCTATGCGGAGTTGGAGCAACAGACAAAATGCTCATTTGGCGACGTCATCGTCCATCCAACCATTTCGTGCATAAGCAGCGGCTGGACAGCCTGTATCTTTTTGCATGACGCATCCGGCGTGTAACATGGGCCACTTATTACATTGTCGGATTAATGGAAACTCGTACTCTGCGTAACCCCTTCCCTGGATTTTAACACATTTGACAAGCACACAAGTAAAGTACTTTCAGTCAGTTTACATCCGTCTTGCTGTTGTCTCACAAGTAAGTCATCATTCAAGATTTGAGTTGCACGAGCACGCTCAAAGTTGAGAAACCTTGAGCTCCCACCATATCCTCACAATATTGAAAAACGTGGCATTGATATCACGCTAGGTGAGCGTTACCGACGCCATATCAAAACCGATTAGGCGCGCAGGTAAGGTGCACGATCACACACAACTTTGGCATGTCATTATAATACGTCATCGACTATCGACGATGGTTCTGAACAAGACAGCTGACAGCCCTGGATTACGATGCTAGTTGTGCAGTTGTGGAATACCTCCATTAACTTTCACTCGGTCACTTTTTCCCTTTCTCACGACAAAAATAAACAAGATTAGCACTAAACAAGGCAAAAGCACAGGCACATAACGTTTGTACGTTAAATTCACACGCATAGACCAACAACGCTAACTCACGACGAGAAGCATCACCACAGTAAGCCACGCCGTCCGCCACAGCGGAAACTGACGCAACGATCTCGCAGTGACCCGGGCGTCGTAAAAACGAATCGTGATATAATCAAGCGATGACGTATTCCGAACCATATCTACCATTAAGTGACAATTCTATATATGTAAGAGATGTTTGCAATTGGAAGCATAGCAATAACCACAAGCGAGTTTTTTGTATTCAATTGGAGCGGTCTCTTTTAGGGAAGACGCGTCAATTATCAGAGCAGCAGTCGCACTGGCTCGGTCTTGGACTTCGAAGGACAAGGCTAAAGTGTGACAAGTCTGGACAGCGGGCACATATGGCGTCCAAGGTTTGTCAAAAACGGAACGAGTAAAAGGTTGCGAGACGCTCAAGGTTGATCGCTTCATAGCTGCCGACACCAATTGCTGGAGTCCAAATTGAGCACACACGCCAGGGGGTTAGGGCAGGTGGGGGTCAGCAACTCCAAATAAAACGCTAACTTCTTCCTCCGGGAAAGATGTGGAAGGAACAGCCATGCTTCGAAAACCCATGTGCAATACACAGCATCGACAACCATCCCGAAACATTGCACTGCTGCCTGGCCAGATTGCAGGGCCGCCGACACATTCTCATCGAATGTTTCCGAGTAGCTTCACGGCGGCCTGATGAGCTTCGTTACGAAATACGAGGGCGGCACCAGCTGCTGCTAACATCATTACACACCATCACGTGCCAGATGAGCGGAGGTGCCACTTTCGCCGGAGATGCGAATGAGCAGCTGACGCAGTTGTTACTGGCGCGGTTCCCCCAAAATTGTTTCCTGGGATATGCAGCACAACTGGAAACCTGCGCTCATTCAAGGTATGAATAACATGTGCATCGCGCTGTACCCGTCAAATGGCAAAAAGAGCTGGAAAATAACGTTCTAGAACGGATAGGAAATCGAATGTTTCATAGCAAGTACATCCGAAACCACACCCATGCACTTGCAGTGCACAGAGTAAGCCACTTACACGGCCTCCCGGAGGGCATCCACCACGCCGGCCACCTGCATACCGCCGATGGACATTCCGTAGAGGCAGAGGCTGACCACGACCATCCATAGTGTCCTGAAAAGCCATACCATACTGCCAGCGCGGCCAGCGCCCCACGGTCTCGCAAGCGCCGAGCTGGCCGATCTCATGACAACTGCAGACTCACTAGGACTACATGCTAATACCGGATCCCCGCCCAGCCTCTCATGTGGCCCAGCGCTCTGGTGAAACACATGTCATGTCTCCACAGCAGTTTGAAATAGGAGCTTGCAATAAAGTTGCGGGCGGCTAGCAAGGCCGCGATGACATCTGCTTGCATTGCTTCAGGCTACTCGTAGTTTCCACCGTTCAAGGCGGCATGTTCGAGCATAGGTGCAGGGGCGTCCCAGAAAGTGCGAGGGTCAGTACCAATTTGATTTATCGGTGCAAATGAAATTTAATAGATAAAAAGTTTTGTTTTTCTTTTTTGATTTTTGGGCGGATTTTGTGCTCATTTTCACTGCGTTGCCACGGGGTTAATGCTCAGAAAAATGGGGCGCCATGGCTCTCACGGAACCTCTCGTCCCTACACCTGTGTTCAAGCTACCGAACAATAGGCACCCTGTTAAGGGGATTCTTCAACTTGGAAATAGGAATGTCTGTATGGAGCTGTTACATTCAGCTATTACAGTTTGATGATTCGGAACTGACTGGCCCATTTGCAGCTTGACGATACTGTTGGCCAGACAGAACGGATATTTGACAGCCGGGACTCTGGGATGCCGGTCCGCTACCTTAACCAGTACACCATAGATATCCAACGAATTAACTGCATTTTTCACTGCTCTTGATGCTGGTTATGTCGGCGACCGCTAAGTATGTCAAGGGTATTCGTTTATAAGGGAATATTTATATGATACCAATACGATGATCCGATCACTATGATCACTTTGATACAATACTACAGATCCGATGCGCCAGAATGGCCCAGCCGTTTTGCAGTCTCGCGGCATTGTGCACCGAATAGTAAAGAAAACCGCACTATTTGCCGAACAATATCGTCAACAGCAGAGCGGTCATGGTAATTCATGCTCTCTTAAAAGTTGGAGTTGCTGAATAAAACAGCCTAAGGCAAGAAACAAAACGTCGGTACGATGTAGTTAGTCAGCTTTAATACACATCAATTGTGATATCAACACTTATGAGCACCTCAATTATAAAAGCAAAACAAAAGCACGGTCGTCGTAAGCGCTACGTTCTAGAACAAATTCAAAAACCCTTTTATAAAAATAATCCGCCCAGAATGGTATGCTTTTAACACGCATGTTCAGGTCTACCCGGTCTTTGCAAGTGTGGTAGCAGCTTACCAGAGAAAAAAAACTGCTATTCATACCAAATGCTACCAAATGTCATCCACAAAAATCCTGTTTAGGAGATAACGACTAGTCTTGGCGTCCTGCCAACGCGACCGCATCTCACTGGTGGATTGGCAGGTTGAGAAGCGGACCGAACAAGGCGAAGCAGGCGGCCGCGGTCAGCGACGTGGCCACAATGTAGGCCTTGATGCAGCTGAACTTGTCGCAGAGCAGGCCCCAGATGGGCGAGGCGAGGCTGCTGGCGCCGTCCTTCAGGCCGAACATGAGACCCAGCAGGATGTGGGACAGGTTGTACTGAAAACCGACCAGATGGAAATGGTGACGCGAGCACTTTGTAATACATGCGAGTGCCATGCATGCATCCCTGTGTTAGCTTGAAGAAAAACAGAGATACCTGTGGAGGCAGATGCAATATGGCAAGATGGTAGCTATACCGGTGCTAAATCGCTTTTGCGTTATCGTTATCGTCCCAGTTTGCAGCAGCCAGTGCTTACGATCATAATTTCTATGCACTTTTCCTTTTTCTGATTTTCTATCCATAATTTCAATGCATTCCCAATGCATTCTAATTCCATTGTGTTTTTTAATGTATTGTTCCATTGGCATATTAATCAAGTCAAGTAGATGGATAGTGCAATGTGTGACATGTTACATAAATGCTTTTGTTAGCATTACGTTGACATATTATGCACAATGATATAAACATTCCCAGCACGCATAATTGCAGGTACACAAAAGGCTACGTAGAGCTTACCAGGACCAAGACAACGCAGAGGGACGCAGCGCTGAGGCCCGAAATAAGCCTAAAAGACCGGCGCAGAAATAGCTCACAAACACCAGCTGAATGGTAAGGTACGCACGTATCTACTAACCCACGGAAAGCATATCATGGAGGATACAATACTACTTCACATTGCTTACAGATGACAATAATGCTTACAGATGACAATGAAAACAACAATCACCGCCTCGCAAACAGAGCAATGTATGTACAGGTACGTTTCTGCGCCAATTTGTGGTGAAATCATAATGCATTCCATTCGATCACCGTCAACGGCATATTAAACAATAGGTCAGCGTGTAGCTGCATGATCTGCCGCCTGTAAGAATATGTTGGCAGCACTGATTCATATCACATGAAGTTATATGAGTCAGCGCTACCAACAGCTCGTTGCTATACCGGCAAGCCCGCAAAGATTAATATGGCGCATGCGTTACCCACCTTTCGGAGGATCTGCGCCTCCAGTGTGACGGAGAGGAAGCCAGTGCTCATGGTGGCGACGAAGAAGCTGACGAAGGCCACCCAGATGCCGGGTATGTGCACCATGCGCCAGACAGACACGGTCTGCTTATCAGCATCTCGGTCGGCGGGACACGAGGAGCTCTTCCGTCGCATGGATCCTGCCACGGCGGAGGCAGGGTCAGGAGAGTGAGACCGGGGTCGGAAGGTGCTGACGGGTCAGGAGGTGCAGACGGGTCAGGAGGTGCAGACGGGTCAGGAGGGTCAAGCGAGTCAGGAGGGTCCAGCGAGTCAGGAGGGTCAAGCGAGTCAGATGGGGTCTGGTAGTACACAGTCATAGGCTTCAGCCGTAGTCAGAGGGTCAGAAGGTTGAGACAGCCCTTGACGTGGCCAGACGGCCCCAGACTGCACAGAGGTGGCCAAACGGTACTGGATGCCACCAGACGCGGACAGACGGCATTAAACGTGGCCAGACGACCCCAGATGTGGCCAAATGGGACTAGATGCCGCTAGCTGTGCACAGATGATACCAAACGTGGCCAGATCACAACATTTGCGCGTTTCTGCTGATCTGGGGAGCTGAATATTGTACCATGGAAAGTAAGCTCAGGACAGCTGTAAGTAGCCTTCAGCGGGTTGGCTTGTTGATGACCACTTTTCAACAAGGTTAAATCAAGGGGACTCGAGCATTGCTGCAGTCATAGAATCAGAGCACGTCACGGTTTTAATTGCGAATGCGGTGACGCGCTAGGTACAAAATTTGTACGTCGTGTGTTGAAAACCGGACCTGACCAGGAACTGTTCCGTCTGCGTTCTATACATAATGTTGCACTGATTGTTAATGGCCTATTTCCGATGTAATTGCAATGCAGCATTCAATTCCTTGAGTTTTCGTGCAGAAAGCGCGGACATGCCATGTACTTCAACGCGACATGACGCGAAAGGATAGACATATGTCACACATACGTCGATAACACAAGTTAGCAATGCAGGTCATGCAGCTGATTGGCTTAATGACGCACATGTGCATATAGCTGGACACCCACATCAACTCGAGATGCAGCTATTATGACCTATCTGCTATCTGCGCTATGACAGCTATCTGTGCGACAGTACCCGCAGTGCCAGGGTGACAAAGTTTTATTAAAGCTCATTTCCAGTACACAGGTGCATATCTAACAGATTTCTAATCTTGCACAAAAATTATGAGCTCGACTTCGTTGAATCCGGTGTATGCAGCCCGCTGTTAACCTACGTTATGGCTGGGATCCGAATGCAATGCAAATGACGAGGAACTTATTGACATGAGCGAAAAATGATGTCGACTTTGATCAAATGATGGCCCAAATCTTGTTAAGGTCCACCGCCTATTCAGGTATTTGAAGGTGGCATAATATGCATGTCAAGGGAGGGTGAAGGAAAAGAAGCATTCTCTCAATGTTGCCAGGTTGTCGGGGATTCTGCAATCTGCAACCAAAGCCAAAGAGACAATCTAGGTAGGCTATTAGCAACCTGGCGGGCGACTAGGGCAAAGGCGACCTGCATGCAGGCCTTCCATGGCCATGATGTCTCCCGACGCCGGTAACTTTGCGGATGGAGGAGACGGGAATATGAACCGTCAGAGCAGAAGTAATCACACAGACGGGCTGAACCCATTCAAGAGGAAGGAAAGCCAGTCAGAGAAGCTCTCGCAGTACAGGAACGGTGCCCCGGAGACTTTAAGGAAGATGCGACTCGGCGAAGTCATCACAGGTTTCTCGTAAAGATGTTTACGTAAGATGTCGTGCTCGGCGAATGCGGCACACAGATCCCAGCCAGAAAATCCGTCAGTGGTTGACATTGGGAAGGCAGGCTTTCCTTAGGGGCAGGACGCTGCCTGGCGATACTAAGGATGGGAACCATCCTGCATTGACGGCAAGGGCCTTTCGCTGTACGTTTTTGCATCATGAATGGCCGTGGGGGTGGGATGGAATGCGTGAAACTGAATGCGACGGCTTAACTCGCAAGGGCCAGTGGGAGAAATGGCTACTCAACATAGGGGAGTGCTCGGAGTATCAAATTATAATTGCAGTAAAGTCAACCAATATTGATACCGAAGACATACTGGGGGAGCAGGCGAGATACCCAACAGGGTGCATCGTGACCCAAGCCGTGTCAGGCGGGTGCAGCAGGGAAGAACCACTCCCGGACTTCTCCCAATATTAGTATGCTCCTTATCAGCCTTCGCCCTGAGCAGTGAAGTACTCTTGTGTCTCACGAGGCATTGGTCAGTCTCACACTTGTATATCGTTCTGAAAGGAGCACGGGGTGCAGCACATTACTAAGAGCAGCTTTGTCTGCAAGACGGCCAGGCTGCGTGAATACACTAGTGAGTACACTACTAGCGTTGAATAAAAAGGTCACGTAGAAACGAAACAACGTCATCATCGACCTGGCGTGATGTCGACGCTCGGGAAACCAGCTTTCAAAGTTGCTGCAAAATGTTGCAGGATTACGGTGAAATGTACATCAACCAACCCTGTGATTGCCACTAACGGCTCCAGGAAGAATGAAGCCCTTCAGTTCTCCAAATTGCGTATTAGTTAAAAGGTTGCTGAATGTCGCAAAGGTAGTTTACGGTCAGACAAAGCTTGGTCGCGCCCTAGATGAAGAGACCCAAGAAACAATAAAGAGTTGGTAGGACTGTATATGTTTCAGACCGGTGCGCAGCACTCACCCTGTTGTGGGGCTACAATATTCGGCACTCTCTACACATTAGATATCAACACATGAAGTAACTAAATGACGACCAAATAATTATGTTAAACGCTTCGCAAGCACATGTAAAGTCATGCTAAAATCATCACCTTGTTCAGCACGACAATGCAGTGTGCAATGCACTACAAAACGTGGCCAAACTTCTAGCCGTTCTTGTAGAAGAGACACTCATTTAAATAGTAAATCTGATCCATCATATTGTCAAGAATTTTAGTTGATATCGGAATTATACACTGGAGAAGGGTGTTTAAATGCATAAACAGACTGACCTGCGACAAGAGGCAATGCAAAGCACTCCAAATATGCCAGACTTTGACATCTGTTATCTTATTTCTGGTATCCATACATTGATTATCTAGAGTTTCTCTGGTCTATATTGTGTTCTTGCATTTACTCGTTTCGCAAGTAAAAGAGCTGTGTGTATAACTGACTTTCTTCTCACTAAAACGTAACTTAATGCTTAAACACTCCGAATATGCCAGACTGACTTTTATTATCTGATTTCTGGTATCTATACATTGGTTATCTAGAGTTTACCTGGTATATATTGTGTTTCTTGCATTCACTCGTTTCGCAAGTAAACGAGCAGTGTGTATAATTGGCTTTCTTCTTACTAAAACTTAACTTAACGCCTAAACATCGCTAATTGGTAACATTTAGTAAAAAGGTAACTCAATTCTTTACCCACTAAATACTTATCGCACTGATGCTACTTGACTCTCTTATATCACTTTCCTGGCATAACATTGCAATCACACATTGGGCATCCCATTGCTGTATATTTGTGTTTGTTTTGGTGTGTATCAGGCATGGAGTTCACGCAGCTTATGCCACCGACGGCAGTGGATGTTCCCCACGTGGGGAGGGGAGGCCCTTCCGCTGCGTGGGGAGGAAATCCTTGTTCGAAGGAGAGAGCGATGTGCGATCATGGAAAAATAAGCTCAAATTGTCAACAGGGACCACTACGATGCCATTATGGTCATGCTGAAGCAGAAGACTGAGGACGGGTGCGACCAGTTCCGTGTCAAGCTCTATATGACCGCCGACGAGGAGGGCTGGGGACACAGCGGGTCGTGCAAACGGAGGCGCTGAGCACGATCGTGGGCAACGCCTTCCCGATGGCGCACGTAGTGCGCACGCAGCGCCCCTGCTTCGCCGGCCTGGCGGCGCCAGTGACGACTTTGCCCGGTAGCTGGAGAGCCAGTAACCACGATAACACCAGGAGCTGGCGCTTGGTGCCGGTAGCCGGAGCACTGTAATCCGAGCCGCCGCCAGCTGTTGCGGGGGGGAGGAGAGTGTGACGACCTGGTCGGAATCTGGGCACTCGAGCGCTCCACAGCCAGGACGACAGGCAGCAGAGCTTCGCTGCCCACTGCTGGCCGACCAGGTCAATTGGCCGAATCCAATGACCTGGCCGGATTCTGGCTCAGAGTCTACTCAGTAGTGGAATCGGAGCTCCACCGATGGCGATGCACAATCTCTGGCAACCGCCGGCAGCTCTCGGTCCACCTGCAGCCAGAGCGCCGCCTCCACGTCACAATGGAGCACACGAGCAGGGTGGCGAGGCAGCTGTACCGCCCGGCCACCAGCAACGTCAGTCCAGGAGGGCGTGAAGCTGCGCACTGCCACCTGGTGTCGGGAGGGCGTATCGCGGGAGAGGGCGCTGTAGGTTCCTCGCAGGAGTCGGTTGGGACGTTCATGGCACGCGATCAGACAACAAGCACGGTTGCTACGCACTCTTGCTGAGGGCGCCCCGCGATGTCCAGATGTCGGGCACCATCCACTTCCTAACCTTAAAAATACCAGATCATATACCAGATATACCGCATACTAGATCAAGGACGTTGCAGAGGAGCTCACCCCTCGCTGACGGCCCTGATCAGACAGCGTTCAGTGATGCCCGAAGTGCTGTCCCGCTCGCGTCGTCAGCCACACCAGTCATCACTTTACGCGTCCCGACTTACGCATGACTTCTTAGGCCAGCTCCCAACGGGCACAACGGGCACAACAAGCCCAGCGAACTGTTGCGCGCCGCCGCGCTGCCACCAGTGTGTGAGCCGGCCGCGACGCGGCGCTGGTGTCGCTACGCCAGGAATAGGTGGCGTCAAGGGGCCGCCGTCTGAACAGTGATGGGCTGGCGAACCGGACTGTCCTTCGGTGACCTCAGGTCAATTGAGCCGACTTAACTGGTCTCGGTGCCCGCTGTTGTGATACATCATCGGTTGCGAGATGCTGTAAGCGCGTAATCAGCATGTATTCTGTTACGGGACGGTCGTTAGCACAACTTCTGCTTCACCATAACATGGGGCGAGACGATGCAGATTAACCCACCTGACATGACGGATCGCAGGTCAAATCTGTCGATTTTCCCCTATCTCTATCTGATAGAGCTCTCCTAGAGATTATTTAATGGAATGTTCCACATTTGAAGATACTGAAGCAGGCATCAGACATGATGAAACACGCTCCCTTACAATTATTGGCATACTTGTGGAAAAGACTGCCTTAGATGACGACTTCTCTGTTAAGTAATTACGCTGCTCAATACTTCATTGTTTGATCTCTTCATCGTATTACTTACAACACCGATTGAGAGCTAATTGACGACCATTATACCCGGAAATCGTGCTCACGAACGCTAGGTATGAAAGACCCCACAATTACATTTTTATCAGCTTTGACCACCGCATGCCCATAAGAATGGAAGGTTTTGAATGACGTTATTCTGGCGTCATGGATGCCTGGGTGACCTTGAAATCGTCTGCACGAAGTAGTCTGCACATCTTCGCGGGTGTGTAGCTCAGACGCTAGATGAGTTTAGGTCTTAAGAAGGGCGGGGCTGTGAGCTGCACTCAATGATCTTCAGGATCACTATTTCAGCTCAAAACCCCATGAAAATGTGAAACGTCCCCTTCAAAATTCCTTTGCCGCATTGCCGTACAATGCTCAGAACCCGAGATAACAGGAAAGGTGACGAGATAACGAGATAACTAAAAAGTGTTAATTTGACACCATGGCCTGATATTATCTCTCAAAGGTGGCATTTCACACTCGTTCAATTACACCATCTGATGCAGTTAGACCAGTGCTTTCTGCCAATGCCGCTCTCTTTCGCGTGGCTCAAGCTTGCTTAGGTTTCGAGGGCGGAGGTAGTCTCCGGAGACAATATCGTACGGCAGAGTTCAAGCAGATGCCATAGGGTCAAAACGATGGTTAAATTGAGGGCTAGAAACAGCCGGTAACTTTGACTGACCGACACTGACTGATTGACACTGTCTGGCTGATTATGACTGACTGACTGACTGACCTTCTTTGTGTGCCGACGCACCGAGGGACCGAGAGGAGAGCGCGGAGAAAGGCGCAAGAGTCGCCGCGTGCTTACACGCTGGAGAACTGACCGGGGAGCACGCAGAGCAGCGGCACCAGCGTCACCATGTGCAGCACGCCGAAGACGACGAACGGCGCGCAGTAGCCGCCGAGCTCGTAGAAGACGCCGCCCAGCGCCGGACCGAACATCTGGGCCACGCTCATCACGGTCCGGTTCATCGCCTGCGGCACGGCGCCGGTCACCGCGTGACCATGCGCTCTAGCGAGTGTGAGGCGGGGGACAGCGCCGGTCACCGCGTGGCCATGCGCTCCAGCGAGTGTGAGGCGGGGGACAGCGCCGGTCACCGTGTGACCATGCGTTCTAGCGAGTGTGAGGCGGGGGACAGCGCCGGTCACCGGGTGACCATGCGTTCTAGCGAGTGTGAGGCGGGGGACAGCGCCGGTCACCGCGTGGCCATGCGCTCTAGCGAGTGTGGGGTGGGGGACAGCGCCGGTCACCGCGTGACCATGCGTTCTAGCGAGTGTGAGGTGAGGGACAGCGCCGGTCGGCGGGTGACCATCCGTTGTAGCGAGTGTGAGGCGGGGGACAGCGCCGGTCACCGCGTGACCATGCGCTCTAGCGAGTGTGAGGCGGGGGACAGCGCCGGTCACCGCGTGGCCATGCGTTCTAGCGAGTGTGAGGCGGGGGACAGTGCCGGTCACCAGGTGAGCACCCGTTGTAGCGAGTGTGAGGCGGGAGACAGCGCCGGTCACCGCGTGACCATGCGTCCTAGCGAGTGTGAGGCGGGGAACAGCGCCGGTCACCGCGTGACCATGCGTTCTAGCGAGTGTGAGGTGGGGGACAGCGCCGGTCGGCGGGTGACCATCCGTTGTAGCGAGTGTGAGGCGGCAGCTGTTACCTACTCCTCGTGGCGCGGCCCGGTGCCTGCATGGGAGCGAAGCAGACACTCAAACGGATTCGCTTCTGTGTAGTAAGTTGGTGATTGATGATCGCTTCTGTGCAGTAAGTTGATATTGATGACAGTAACTGATGCCGTTGATGGAATCGTCGAGTGAATGTTGCTCAGGAGCATGTTCCGTCAACACAGCGATTTTCGCTGCCCATGCTGTTCTGAAGAGACTATGGGCGATAAATAGGAAACAGGTGACGTCCTGACGCGTTTTAAGAAAACGTTCTAAAGGGGAGCTTTGCAGGATTTTTTGAAAACCGCACATACATTCACCACTCATCGAAATACAGCGACAAATCTATTTGCCACAACTAGCGCTTATTTTATGTGGCCATTTTGAGAGCAAACTATTAAACAAACTAGACACCAAGCAAGCTCGACATTGGTTTTATGGTCGCGTCGACTACGGCCGCCACTTTGCGCCAAGCAAACTCACGAAGATGATGCCGGTGCTGGTGGGGAACTGCAGGTTGGTGTAGGTAAAGGTGGTGATGATGATGCCGGCGTTGCCGATGGACTGGACGGCGCGGATCGCCACGGCCGTGTACACGAACGGCATGCCGGCTGGGAACATGTCCAACATTCTGCCGGCGCAAACACGTCCAACGATTCGCTGCGGGCTGTTCAGCAGGGAAGTAAGCCGATTGCTGAACCACGGCGTCGGGTGTCAAGACGTTCAGTGGAGGAAACACTGACACAATGACCGACGTCAGCCGATAGTCCTCACCGACCTGACCTGGCCTGACTTACCTCGCACGCACAGCCGTTCCTTGGCCTACAGCTCCGTACTCGGAGAGGCTAATTGAAGGGGCCTGCGTCATCGAAAGGATGATGATGGCAAGGACCAGAGAAGAGGATTCATAGTTACAATCCTCAGTTGCCGTTGTTTTGCCTTCCACGGCAACACCGGTTTGAATCCCTTGGCAAGGTCATATGCCAATACCAGTTTGATTCCTATGACCAGCAATCAGCTTACTTTGACCGGTGAACACATGCAGAGTGATCAGCGACCAGTGAACGGTGACCAGTGAGAGCGCTTTAGTGACCAGCGAGTGTAGCACAGTGGGCAGTAGGCACCGCGCCCAGTGACGGGTGGACAGCAGGCAGTGACCAGAGACCAGTGTACAGCGACCAGTGACAGCGTCCCAGCGACCAGTGACCAGTGGACGGTGACCAGTGACAGCGCTACAGCGACCAGTGAGCACCGGGCAGTGGGCAGCGCCAGTGGGCAGCAGGCAGTGACCAGCGCGCGACAGTGGACCTACCCGCACAGCACGCCGCTCACGCCGCTGGCCAGGACGCCGCTGACCAGCGTGAAGGAGAGGCCGATCGTTTCAATCTGCAACACAGGTACGGCATACCGCGATGGCGAGCTCTGAGCGGCAGACGCTACACTGCAGGTACTGCCACAGACACCAGGTCACACTGGGGTCACTGAACAGACACCAGAGGTGCTAGACTGCTTGGGAGAGCGTTATCGCAGTTACGCACTCGAGTGATTTAAGATTGCGAACGGGCTGTGGGTAGCGGTAAACACATCGTTTATGTGAGGATGAAGGACGGAAGATTAAGGGCCGTGAGTGACTCACATTTCACTGCTGAGACACGTTAAGTGTGAACCGGGAAGGGCTCGTACAGAGTTGCCGACGATGTTATCAATAATGGTTCAGCCACAATAGATGAGTTGAGACGTTAATGCAAAGCCTACAAGATGAAGTGCTCAGCAAATGTGTGTTCTACACAATCAAAGGCGAGCACATTTTTTTTTGTAAACAAACAAACGAACGTCGTTCTTTCAGTGGTTCACATACTCTTGAGCATGAAACGTCACCTTACTTTTTAAACATACACACACATATATATATATATATATATATATATATATATATATATATATACTTTGAGGCACACGCATTTCATGGATACCTTTTCTTGTACCGTCGAAACGCGCGATAAAATAACGGTTTTGTGGAAGAACAGAAGGGTGGTACGGATGGAATGAAAACAATCTTGGTGAGGAGAATGCGGAGGATGCGGAGAAATGGCAAAGAGGTAGGCTTCGTAAGGCGTGATGTCCAGTAATCGTCCAGTTTATCTCGACAGGGAAGAGTTGGTGATACTCCAGATGCTGCTGTATGTTGTGGTTATATTTTTGTCTTCGGTTGACTTTAGCAACCTGTAAGACAACGTAGCCTGTATTCGCCCGGACTCGTCCAAAAACCGACTGGCACCTGCGAGTGTCGGGTCCTGCCGGCGCCTCAGCGGCCGACCCTTGACCCCCGGCGAATCGGGAGACCCGCAGTCACGTGACGCCCCCCCCCCCCGGCACCCAGTCACATGCAGAGCTCGGAAAACAGCGAGGACGAGGGCGCACACCCCACACAATCACACCACATAACCTGACGTTTTGCACCGGTAATAGCTGTCGTGATTACGCTTCATCCTGTTCACGACTGAAGTGGCGTTTTTCGACATGTGGGCATTAATGGTGTTATTTCACGTTAATGCGTTTTACCTGAACGGACATGAAAGGTCAGTAACATCAGAGAGACAGTCAATGCCCACGGGTGACTGTGGCCTTGACAATCATCGCCGATATAAAATGAGCGTACAAATATTTTAATGAAACGGAGCGCAATAAATCACCATCATCGTTATATAACGAATGATAACCACTGTCTATCTTTATGATTAAATCAGCCGTGCATGTCGCCTCAGCCCCTGAAAATTTCCTTGCAAGCATGCCTTTTCAGGTTTTGCCTTTACAGCCCTCCATGTTGACCCGCATCCCAACCCAAGCCTGACATCACCACGTCATGGCTGCTCATTTGCATTTTAGCAACTCAACAATCACTTAAACTTGAGTGGACCCATCATCTACACCACAATGTCAACGTCAAGTTAGCATGTCGAATGCACCAAAGCAGGAGACCACAAACTAACAAATACCACACATGGCCTGAACCCAAAGGTTTGGGCGCCGTCTCGGTCGATGCGCGATGTGCGCTGCCCGGTGCGCGATGCGCGATGAGCGATGCCTCGGTCCCGTCTCACGTGTTTGCCGAGGAACGGGGTGACGACGAACGAGACGAAGCAGTTGGTGCCGATTATGGCGCCGTACACTGAGGCGCTGAAGCCCTTGCTCTCGGCCTGCGAACGCGCGACGGCTGCAGTCAGGCGGGGAGCCGGCCGCGGTCAGGCGGGCGCCGACCACAGTCAGGCGGGCGCCGACCACAGTCAGGCGGGGAGCCGGCCGCGGTCAGGCGGGGCGGAGGCCACAGTCAGGCGGGCGCCGACCACAGTCAGGCGGGGCGGAGGTCACAGCTAGGCGGGGCGCCGACCGCAGTCAGGCGGGCGCCGACCACAGTCAGGCGGGGCGCCGACTGCAGTCAGGCGGGCGCCGGCCGCGGTCAGGCGGGGCACGACCGCAGTCAGGCGGGGCGGAGGTCACAGCTAGGCGGGGCGCCGGCCGCGGTCAGGCGGGGCGCCGGCCGCGGTCAGGCGCTCACACAAACAGGGTGCAGCGTCACATGGATACTCGCAATGCCATCGGGGATCCAGTTATCCGCGATGGCTGCGGTGGTTCTTCGCAAGTTAGTCTGGGGAGGCTTTGCGGCTGAAAATAACCTTCCGCCAACATTTTGTTGCAATAACCACGTTTGACCGTGATGAGATCATCACAATATCCACGTTGAACTACACGGTTTTGAAAATTTCGGACGTTATCAGGCGATCCGAATGTACAAAACAATAAAGTAGTAATCATTTAATAGAAGAAATACCCTTTTAGACAAGGCGTATACCTAAGGCCGCATTCAGTGCATTTACAATCTTGTGGGACTCCGGGAAGTTTCCTTAGAACATGCGAAGCCAAAAACATTCTGCACAATTATTTCAAAGATGGAGCCTTCCAAGTTTACCTACCAGGGTCGGGTTGGGTTCGAATCGCTTCACGTGCTCGCTTCTTATCCCTGACTGAGATGACCCGCAGCCGGGGCAGAAGCCGCGCAAAAGGCCAGGTGGGGCGGCAAAGGGGACAGTCGTGACCGGTTCAGCATAACTACGCGTAAACTTTCGGCACGAAAGTCTGCTGTTGGCCTGAAACTTTACAATGGGATTATCGCGTCAGGTCTTACACAACCAGCGTACTTAGCGAGGGGTCCAAATCTGATCCCAGAAACATATCGATTGAAGTTTTCCACTAGATGCTCTGAAAACCAAAAAATTAACTGTGCTGCGGTTGGTTTTTGTATATTTCTACCGTCTGTGCGAACACTGTGGGTTTTTGTTTGGGAGAATTCAAAACCTATTGAAGGCTTCGAACGGGGAAGGGGTGGGGGCGTCGTGGCAGGAAGGTTAGCGCCCCCAGCGAGACGGGGGGGGGGGGCATCGTCTCATCATGGTCCTTTTGTGGTTCTATCGGTGGTGGGGCAGGTCTGAGCCCCGGTTGCCGCCCGGTCTCTGTGCGCTAATATGGCACAGACAGTGTTTGGCGCTTTATAAAACAGTGTGTCGCGCTCTCCTTCTTTAAGGGGTCCTCGAGCGCGGCTTAACGGGGATACTCCTCACAAAATATTTGTCAAACTATTTCCTCTGGAATAAGCAAAACATGATATTCAAGAAGCTCGCTTACGCCTGAACAAACGCTGTACACTGGAGGACCTACATCTTCTGTATTTTGACCTCGTCGTTAAGCTGCGGCGAAAGAGCGCCATATCTGGCAGCACCGCCAGTGCCACTAGCCTTCCTCGGAAGCCACCTAAAAACAAACCTGCGCCAAATTCTTGTCGGGTGAATGATGACCTTCTTCAATAACCAAATCGGCAAACAAAAACGGTGGGATGTGGACTTAGGTCAAATCACAAATTGCTATCTATTTACGAAAGCAGGTTTTCGGCTGCATCCGACCATAAAGTCTAGCATTTGATGAAATAATTTCAAACACGAGGCTCACTGACGATTTTTATGCACCTGCTCTCCCATTTATTACCTATCAACTCTTAAAGCTAAAGGCAGCGGCAAAATGCTTGACTGTTTATCGAAAGAACACACATGTTGTTGACAAAGAAATCACTTGCAGTGTCGTGGTGCAGCGCAAGCAAAATTAGTTGACTGCTCCTTACAGCACATAACTGACACGTCAACACACGACACAGTATGATAACTTTCCAGACAAGAAAGGCCGAACTACTGAAATCAACAGATGGAAACACTGTCTCCAGCAGCTGGCGGGTCAGTGAAAGGAAGCAGCAAAATAATAGACTGATTATGACAGCGCTTGATCCCACGTCAGCAGATTACGTTCAGAGGTGAAATACACATGACAACCTCCTGCAGCCACGCACATCGATCTCAAGTTAAACTTACCAGGAAGGAAACGTACCACTTTGGGGAAGAACGGAGGGAAAATGCACAGCGACAGAGACGATGTCATCGTGATCGAGGCCAGAGCGCCGAGGAAGACCAGCTGACGCCAGGTGAACTTAGGCTTCCGTCTCTTCGTGACATACTCCTGGTCGCTTTCTGTGTGAACGGAATGAGATTGGTGTGAGATCAGTCCAGCTAATCGAGCGGCGTGAAGGTGGACAGGCACACCTCCCAGGCCACCTCGACCACCACTGGTGTTTGTGGCAAGGTCAACAGACGGCTGACTGAAAGATAGCCGAGATAGAGAACCAGAACCCGTGACGTTGGCGTGGTGAGCCTCTTCTAGCCTATAAATATTTATTGAGTACGAGATAGAACAGCATAGAACCAAGAGAGCGAAAGCCCTGAGCCATGATATGTAAATCAGAAGTAGTTAGCATGAAGCTTTACTCGACGTGGGACGAGCGAAATGACGACAGAGCTTATGCCACCATACTGGTAATACCAAACCTGAATGAGCCAGACTCCGTTAGAATCCGTACAAATAGACGTGACATACATATGCCTTATTTACAGATATGCCATGACAGTCATTTAGGACAATGTCAGATCGAGAGCTCACTAAGCAAGTGCTTTGGTGCTTATTTACAAGCAGTATTGCTGGAATATTTCTGGACGATACTCCTGGACATCCAGGCCAAGAGCAGTACATTTACACTAATTGAAACGTACGACTTTTGTGGTCAAGGCATTCACAAAATTTTTTTGGATGTTGACTACGAATGATTCCGTTGCATGGTCGCATCTTTCGTTGCTCCGTCTCACAAGATTTATGCCGAGACGGCTTCTGCCAGAAATCGCTAGATTTTACAGGTGGTATGCCTTGCTTAGTGGCCGACGGCTAATGACCTATCATGAACAGGGACAAAAGACGCTTGTTAACGAGCCTTTCCTCCGAGCCCATGATACCAAGCCCCACCGCCTCTTGACCACCCGATGCACAGTAGTTGGACAATCATTTTTTCCCAAAATCCGGTTGCCTTTGGTTTGGCCAAGAGTCGCCAAAAAAATGCAAAAGCTGCCGAAATCAGGTTCGTGGGTAACACCTTAGTGACCGATCGCCCCGAAGAAGGCGTCATACTTTATATGATAAACAATGGCGTGCCCTGTCCTCAATGTGCTGAAGTTCTGTTAGCTCAGAGGTCACCGAAAACCATAAATGTTACGAAATGTACAAGATTTCCCAACCAGTGGCATACAATGCCCTGCTCATCAACCCTTTTCCACTGACATAGCTTCATATCCCCCATCTAGACCACTGTGCCCTTTCGGCACGTCAAACGACTAGAATGCCAAAAACTATCAAGCATGTTGCTGGCGATCCCATGCTCCGAGCGTATGGCACGGAGCACTAAAAAGCCCTCCTTGTCCGATACATGATACTCAAAAACTGTTCGTTCCAGAGAAGGCAATGCGTGCCGAACAGCAGGGTTTGGTGGTGAAATTTGCGTACTGGCCAATGACACGAGATTGCCTGCAGCTTGGCTCAGCACTCGTTGGCATTTTCGTGATTTCTGACCGATCCTATGGCCACCAAAACCTAGACAGAGTATGTTACCGACAATGAAATAACGAATATTGATGCCCGGTGAAGTCTGTCCGACGGGCTTAAAGTGTGGAATTATCCACAGATAATTTTGGTAGCTTTCTGCAGTTTTGCAAACTTACACCAGATCCAAGTTCTGAATATCCTGGAGACGTCGCGCTATTGACTGGAGCACCGAAGAAAGTGTTTAGCGACGACCTGGCCCGCCAACTCGTAGCGCGGCCCCGTCTCCACTTTGGCACTGGTACTTCGTCTGTGCTGGTACTCTGGCCTCTTTGATAATTTTTCACTTGACCGAGTAAATGTTCGTCAGATAATTTGTCCTTCCCAGTGGCTCAGTTGGTTAAAGCGTCTGTCTTCTGATCCACCCACCCGTGGCGGGGTGTGTTCGAGTTGCTTTAAGGCGCTCGCTATCTGCCCTTGACAGGTATGGCCTGCGGCCGGTGGCAGCGGTCGCGCTGAAGGTCAGTTGACGTCAGAGGGCAGGACGGGCCGTGCCGGGCATCGCGGCACGTTAAGCTTTCGCCACCAAAGTCTACCGTTGACATGGAATTGCGCGATCGGGTGGTAGGGGTCAGGGCTTACACAACAAGCACTGCTTGGCGTGAGCTCTGATCCCTGAAATCCATCCATTCAAAGGGTTCGGATATTTTTTTGTTGAAAATACGAGCCTCCAGAAAAGGGTGCTAATTACACGCACGTGGCAAGTCACCATGTCCTGGAAATCGCTTTTTACTGCAGCGCATCGCATAGAGAGTCATTGTTTGCTGGCCCCGTAGGATTGGCATGTGGTACCATCCAGAAGTATGACTGGTCGATTGGTTCCTTCATGATAAGCACGCTTGTGGATCGGCTATTGTTGATCTTCTTAAGCGGTTTGTGCACGGTACGTTTACCTACACCGTTACACCATGTATTTAGCATCAATTGTATCTGCCTTTTCCCTATAACTGACATTTCTTCCTAACCTGGGTCTCATTTTATACTAATTCTGCTGCGATAACATGCAGTGTTGTTCGGTTATTGACGCTACCAGAGTTGTTAACATTACTTTTCTCTTTCTTCGAGATGTCCAGAAACAGGTATGAAGGCTGCAAAATGTGCTGGGGAGATATGCAGTGATAAATGTCGCAAGACACCTCCAAAATACGTTATCAAACGGGTTTTCCCCGGGTTTTACCCACTTTCTTTTCGAAGCTGGAACAGGGAGGGGGGTACAGGGACCAGGTTTAGGGAGGGCCGACTTAATCTCCTTTCAAATGTGATTAAGAAACAACATCCTTCCCTGGAACGCATCCTCACTTAACATAAGTTAGGAGTTTGATAAGAGTTCGAAGTATTGCAAGTAAGCGCTAGGGCAGCAATTTTGAATGGCTACTTTGGCAGCACTTCAGAGTCACACAATCCTTCCAAGATGCAATCAAACAATGCCGTATTGATGGGAACATTCACTAAACGGAAAATGTGTTGTCTGGAGCAGTTCCTCACTTAAAAATATATCAATCGTTATAACTGAGTTTATTTCATTATAGCTGATGCTTCTTCAACATCGTCAAATGTGAAACATTCCTTAGAAAGGAACTATCCCATATTTCTATGGGATCCTAACTCATTTTATCACTTACTTCGATATCAATCCCTGCAGTTCAGTTATGCCCTTTTTAGGACTTCAAATCCTCTTGTGTTTTGTTTTTCGCTAGACGCACGCGAACTTGTCGAACTTGTTCTTGGCCGCCTTTTTGGTTACCCAGATATGTACATCGTTACTGAACCACCTCCCACCGCAGTAGGCCATGTTGCGTTCAAAGCCAACACAATATCACATAAGGGATTCCCGTGTCTCGAGTGCGTCCGCATGCATTGCCGCATCAACACACGGCCCTTGGCTAACACAGTGGTAATGCGTTGGTTGCATGCCTCCGTCATGAATCGCTTTTGTGATGCATAGCACAGGTTTTTAGACGGTTCCACTAGTTATGAAGAGCATAAGGCTGAACATCGAATAACGTAAGAATAGTACCGCAGACGAGAAGGCAAATTCAACGAAGAAGATATGTTGTCGCAGCAAAACATGCAAGATAACCACGAGAAAGACCAAAACACAGGGACATACCGCTAACATAAACTTAAGCGAACAGACACCAACGAAGTATTGACTCTGACCTCGGCCGGGTCGGACGCTCAGCGCCCCGCTCCGCGTTGCTCCGGGCGGTCCAGGTTCGATGCGGCGAGGCTAGCGGAGTTCGTGGTGCACGGATCGGGACGTTTAGCGTGAGGTTGCTGTGACAATGCACCGGATCTACGAGAACGTCAGCCTCGGAATCTGCATTCAGCGACACGGAGGAAGGACCTGTGCACCAGTCACCAGACATTGAGCGGAAGCGGCAGCGCTCCGTCGGTGAAGTGACTAAATCGCCCGAGTCCGAGAGAAAGCGAATAACATCATCGCAACAGTCATATGTATGTGAAAAGAACTGGTACATTTTTTACGAATTCAAGGCAATGATGGATTTATCCATCGGCAGCGCTTTGGGCCTTTGGGGTAAAATGGAGACAACGCTGTCGTCATACGAGACCAAATTTGAAAAACTGGAGAGCGCAGTCTTTGAACGGGACCAGCATATCAAAAGCTTGGAGAAAGACCTGAATGAGTGCAAAAAACAGCCAGGTGCGTACGCCAATCAAGCTGAAGAGCTTGAATGCCAGTCGTTCTGTCAACCTTATCGTGACGGGTGAACGTTTCGGTAAGCAGCGTCAGGGAGAGGATATTCAGAATATGGCAATTTCAACGTTACGAAAATGTTTCCCGGCCAAGACTATGAATGAGGACGATTTCTCTGTCATGCATGGCTTGCCGAGAAATAATACCGTGATCTGCGCCTTAAACAACGGAAAACTGCACAGTGAATTATTCGACCAGCCAACAAAAATGAAAAACTAATCCGACCCCAAGAAAAGGGTGTAGCCTCAACGAGTCTCACGAAAAACAAGCAGGCCATCTACAATCAATTTCCTCAGCTCAAGCTGGGGAAGTTGAATGTAGAACGGCATTCTGCTGTTCAAGAGGTTCCAGGATTCCTCGCCCGTAAGGGTCCACTCTACGAACAGCTGAACAGCATTACGCGTGGTACGCCTCAGGCGCAGTCTGCGGCCGGGCGCCTGGCTCTGCAGGCGCGCTCCCAGGATAATTGCGGTCTGGCGCCGGCCAGCCCAGCGGCCACCGCTGCTACGCCGGCTGGCCCGCCTGGTGCCTGCAGCTGCGCTGCGGTCTGGAGCCTCGTCACCCGGGTCCGCGTGTGTTGCTGTGGCCGCTGCTGCTGTGCTGGCGGCAGGCTCTTCGTTGGGCGGGTGTATGTCTGCGGAGCTGGTGGCCGGTGGATCGTCGGCAGTTGGCTCGCCGTCTGCCCTGACGCTGGTGGCTACCACGTCCGCCGGAGATGCGCCCACCACACTTAGGCGGGCGGTCGTCGCAAGAGTGGGGCGTCTGTCATGCAGCGACAGCTACTTGATCTTCGCGGGCTGGAGCGGAGCCTGCTGGTTCGTAAGAGTG